CTTAATAAACTTTACTATAATTACCCTGGCCAAGTAACTTATTATAACGTTATTAAGCACTCACCAGCTCTCCCAAGGATTCATATAAAATGGTAACACTATAAAAAGATTTGACTGTAATTATAAAAAGAATAAATATTTTGCAAAGAATTGTTTAACAAAAAAAAATAAAAATTCAGATTGAAATTATCAATCAAATTATCTGATAATAACAAGTTAAATTATCAGTATGATCCAAAATTATTTTTAATTTTTTAATTTTAATCATATAAATTGTAAAGATAACAAAGTTATTTAATTAAAAATTATAAAAATTATAGAATTATAAAAATTATAAAATTATAAAAATTTTCAGTTATAACATCACATATCAATTTTAAAGTAACTGAAGCAAAGTTAATATTTAAAAACTGAATAGATATTGGTTAAATATATATATTATCATGAGTTTCAGATTCTAATAAATATTTTCATAATGTGAATATTTAATCGATATCTGTTTATAATTCTCTGATTTACTAATTTTAATTTAATAGCTTTAGAATTATATTTTTTTCTATTTTATTAGATAAAATAAGATATTATTATTATTAATAAATATTTTCTTTGTATTTATTTAGTATGAGAATAATTTTATAATAATATAATACTAATATTTTATAATAATCTAGTTGAATATCTAATAATAAATTTAATAATTATAAAATTAATTAATATATAATTTTATTAAATAATAAACAAAAAAGCAGTTTATTAACTAGCTAGATTTTGTATTAATCAATTAATATCTTTTGATTTATTTAAAAGATCCTTTATTTATATAAAATATTTTATGATTAAGTTATTATAATATAAGATATATTATATATATAAGATAAATATAATATACTAAATATTTAGACAAATCAGTTAACTCTACTATATTTACAATCTTAACAATTTATATTTTCTTATATAACTAAAATTAAAAAATTAAAATTAAAAAAAATTTTAGACTGTAATAATATTATAAGAAAATTTATCAGAGTCTAACTTGTAATACTAATCTGTGATCTCTACAGATATAAATATTTACAAGATGAATAATAGTAACTGTATTCATGCAAAGTTTAAAGTAAATATCTTTTAAATTACAAGTTTTAATATCAAGTAACAAAATTTGTATATAAGTAATTTAAAAAAGAGATTTATTAAGTATGAATAATAATTTAATATATAATAAATTATTTTAATAACACAGAGACAAAAAAAATAAAGTAATTGAGAATAATTAGCAATCTAATTTATTCTTTATTATAATCAAGGTTAAAGATAAATTACAAGATGTCTGATTTTTTATGTTAAATTACATTCATTTAAATATATATTAAAGTAATACAGATTTATAATATTTATAATAATATAAAAAATTAATAAAATAATAAAGTTATAACATGTGTAATACCAAGGATAATAAATATAATACAAAATTAATCTAAGTATTACAGATAAATTAGCAAAATATTGGTATTATATTAAATAAATTAGATGAATTAATAAATTTATAATCAAAAATAAATAGATTAATAATTTGAAATCAAGAACCAATAAAATTATAATAACTAATAATTAATAAAAATGGCATAATTAATAAAGTGATTGGTAATTCATAATATTACTAGATATAAATAAATAATAATTAAAATAAGTAAATAAATAAATAAATAAATAAATGTGTATAAATAAAAATTGATTGAATATTACTCAAGATCTAATGATACCTTATGTTAGGTGATCAAGAAAAAAAGTGAATAATGATAATATAATAAAAAATGAGCTTTTGATAATTATTGAATTCTACAAATAATTCTAATTATTCAAAGTATAATAAATTACAAAAGAAAACTCACAGACAATTGTAAGAAATTTTACACAGTATTAGAAATTTGCAAAACAATTAAGATAAACTTGAAGAAATGGTTAATGTGATCAATTAGTATTAGTATTTGTATTTTGGATCCAGATTTTGAACTGTTACATATTGTTGATCATAATCATAAAAAATAATTATATATATGGCAAAACACCAGATTGTAATAAAATTAAGGTCATATAAGATTATATGACTCAATTTTGAGATCCTACCAAGATCATAATCCAACAAAGATAATTATATCGAGATGTTATTTATAAATATTATGAAAGCTTATTACAGTAATGAGATCGGGAAAGAGATTTTGCGTTATTATAACGAGATGTTATCTTAAAGAGTGTTACTATAACGAGCACTCACTATACATATATTTATTATGTTTATTATATTAGCAATAATCAAATGAATATCCGTTATTTTAAACAATCAGTATTAATATTAAAAAAGTTGAGCATTATCGTATAACAAGAAAAAGCAAGAACTCTAAAAACCACCAATAAAAGCATTTACCACATATTAAAAACCAAATTAAACGTTAAATATAGTAGTATATATTTATAAAGAAGAAACGGGAATCAGTCTCATAATCATCATTCTTCATCCTCACTATAATATTCCATGACCATCGATCAAACATCAAATAATCCGTTTCTCGAAATTCACCTTGCTTTCTCTCTTCACCCTACGAATGAATATCCACTTCGCATTATTATATCGTCAGCCATAATCAACAGCATAGAGTCAAGCAAGGCTTTTATCCTTCTTTTGTTAGCTTATTACTTGTATTAAAAAGTATTTAAGATTCGTTGATGAGGGCGACAATCATTCTATTTGAAATGGGATGCAGAGTAAGCAAAAATTATTATTCTATGCGAATACGATTAAAATCCCGATCGTTCAATACGAAATCAATTATTAAAGAATTCTCGCTCCAATTGGTAAGCGAATATATTTTTTCATAATTCTTGCCAGAAATATCAATATTGAGCAAATTGAGTAGTAAAATACCTGTACAAATAATAAAAGAAACTAAACAAATAGAATCCAAGTTTAAAAAAACATTCTTTTTTGTGTTGTCCTAGTGTTCTGAAAATTTCGGTGGCATCGAACATGTGTCGATTGTTATTTACTCTAATAAGTAAAATATAGAGGGTGAGTGAATGTGATTTGGAAACGAACCAAAACTTAATATCACTTAATATCAATGAAAAATCACTCACTTTTGAACGTTATACGCCACCAATGGAAGGTTAATCAATGCGGCAATCCAGCTTCCATTTACCAAGAACAACAAAAACACGATCCCATGAAAAATCATTTCTGGCAATACAAACTATAATAATACGACGATAAAAATACACGTTAGAAATACAAAAAAAAAAGCAACTCGCAATCATATAATATTGATTTCTCGAATGAAGGATGAATGCGTCTGCTAGCAACTTTTTTTGACAATAATATCAATGTAACTGCTATTTTCTACTCTTTCTTAAATAAGATTAAATTCTTGCGCCATATTTGCAAAAACCTCATAAGAGATAGAATAAGGAAAAAGATATATTCACCCCATTTAGCTTATTACAAAGATCAATCGGATTTATGTAATCACATTCTAGATCGGAAAACATTATCGTCTGGTAACATCATAAAGTATTTGTGAGATACAGAATTCAACAATATACAATTATAGAGTTAAATTAAATATATTCGCAAAAAATCAAATTCAATATAAAATTATCAATTTTTTGGTGTAAAAAAACCATGGTCTCTTAAATACGATGGCTTTTGCTAATATTTACTTCTTACTCATTCTCTCTGTATGAAAAAAAGGATACAAAAAACACCATCACAAATAAAAGTATTGCGGCCGCTATGGTGCCGAACAGAAATAATAAAGCTTCACCCGGCATATTTTTTTATTTATCGTTTCTTTTTTAAAAGCGACTGGTTTTCGTATCTTTATCCCTCAACCAATTAATAGAGTTTAGAAATAGAAAGACGGCTGGCATCGAAAAATATGCCAACGAAAAAATAACCCATTTAATATTAGTGAGGTAACGCGTGATACGTTATCTAATGATCACTACTAGATCTAGAAGCATGTCTCCGTTTTCGTTACGTTACATCATCTTGCTTGTGAAGTGAATGTTTATCGATATCGATTTACAGTCATATCACCTAGATCGTTGTTTTTTTAAACAGCTCAACTGTAAGGATATAAAATAAGAGGGGATATAAACCAAGGGAGATATAACCCAGGTACAACTGTATATTAAATCGCCGCGATTTACTATAACTAGTGTTTGTTCTCGGGAGTGACTATCCCTCCTGTATAAAATCGCTCCAAGAAAGTTTCTGTCAGTATATGATTGCTACGATTGACATAGATGCTGATTAAATTCCTTTATTACATAGCGATATAAGTGCACCAGATCGATGTAATGATACGGGCTAAAATACTTAGCACCAAATGATCTGTAAAAAATTTCTAAATTAGGATTTAGGACATTTGGGACACTAGGACTTGTATGATAATTCAAAATCCGAAATATTTAAGATTTTGAAAAATACTTTAGCCTGAATCATTAGATCGATGGATTCACAAACATGAATAGTAATCGCGACCTGGCATCTAATGTAATTAAATAACCACTATACTATTATACTCTGCAAGATGCATTCGTCGTCATTATTATCATCAGACTTGCGTAGTATTGTAAGTTCCTGCTGAAATATAATAAAGATTAGAGTCACATTGTTTTCTATTAGATTAGATTATTATTTCTTATATTTACATATGAATTCAAAAAAGCACTGTCAAATTATTTTCTGGCCTTACACCAATGAAAAAACATGAATATCAAAAAAGTAATATTTTATTATCTACAAATTAAGATATTTTGGTGGTCGTTTTCCAGTTTCGTCCAAATACAAATTAGGAGGAGGTTTTGGTCCATAGATCGGTTCACGAATACCTAATAAAAATACAAGTTAATATAAATAACAAAAAAAATTCTCCCGAGTCAACCAATAATAATGAAAATACATACATAGTATATCCCGATAAATCTTACTAACATTCTCATCCCATTCCCCACGGAAAAAGGAAGCACCACATAACTCGAGCCTATATTCTTGCATAAACTCACGCACGTTCATCCATCGATGAGGCTGCTCTATTTCGAGTGGCTCGTGATCATTTGGCTGGTGTAGTATCCCGATCGTGTATCGATGGTATGGAGTACCTTTTGGTGGATGCGGAGGGATGTAGTCGAGGAGAGTAGTGCCGCCGGAAACTGTATGCTTTGTGGCACTGAGCGGGATATTTGTGCTTTTTTGTTTTTTAATCCAAGTATTAGGATTTTGGTGACGATTTAGAAAATAATTATTAAGTGGTGATATCATTTATATTATACTGTCCTTGTGTGTGAATATAACTTACATTAACCAATGCCATTGTGTTTTGAAACTTTTTCTTTCTACATCGGGCATATCTTCATTTTTTAAAACGCATTGAAAAAATATTGATTGATTATTTAAAGATTATTCGAAATTTCTTTATAACAAAACACAAATAAAAAATACCTGGATCAACCATGAATAAAGTATATAACCGTGTGTCTTGATGGAAACTGGTTAATGTCAGTTCAGGCTGACGCTCTGTCTTATAATCGGAAATGTTGTCAAGTAGACAATAGATACCATTTTATTAATAATTAATAATTAATAATTAATAATTAATTATCCTTCCGTACTTACTGTTGTAGATTTTTGCCATACCCCTGGTTCAATGGGTGACAAGAAACTGATCCGAAGGTCGATTGTAGGATCAAGCGTCGGAAACACGTCGGGTATTACATACATCAGCGTTATTCGTTCCATCTGGTCATAAGAATAACGTTTATTATTTCGAGAGGAAAATAGGATTAACATCATATTAGATTATTATTATGGAATTCGCACATACAAAAAACCAAAAACTCCAATTGAAAAGAAATATAAAGCTACCAATTTCGGAAGTGCTTTTATTCTCCATTCCCGTTCACGTAGGTGACAGTAAACAGGCATTGACATATCATCTGTTTAATTATAATTATATAAAACATAAAAAATCGACTTCTTCATAAAATATCGATCAAAATAATACAATACAATAACTCACAACGTCCATTACGAAAATTCCAACGAACTTCTGGATCATTTATTTCCGAATCAATTTGAAGTCGATATTTTTGAATTTTTAATTTCTGTATAGAATAATCAGAAGAAGGTTCTATTTCCTCTACAAAATCACCAAGCAATTGGCTGGCATTATTCACTATCCCAGAAGAAAAAACTAACCAATTTGAAATGTTACTCGAAATCTAATTCGATCGGATCGGGATCAATTCGATCCGATGTGATTCAGATTCGAATCAAGTACCTTTCGATATAAGAGCTTCAATCTTTGCAATTTTTTGTCTCTTCTCCTCGCGATCTTGTTTGATATATTTCAAAGCTTCGTCGTACGCCGCAAGAACACCCAACTTTGGGGGATCATATATATCGCTTGTTTTTGCCTTTTTTTGAACTGGTGGTAGTGCTGATGATGATGTGAGAATTGGACTGTGAGTGGTCTTGACGGTGGCATCTTTCTTTGTAGTTGTGGTTATATATGTACGTCCGGGTAAACACTTTTTTATCTTGTTTGATCACTAAAAACTTTAAGGTCTTTTGATTCTTTCGATAAAGCTTTCAAGATTCGAGAAATACTTACCATTGTAAATTTCGAATTATTTAATTTTATTATGCTTCCGGATCTATGATAATAAATAAGCCTAAAAGTTACTTGTGTACTTTGCATGTCGAGTGAGTTTTCAAATTTCAAAAAAAATTATCTTCAATCTTGAATCTTGAATCAACATAGTCATGTGCTCCAAAAAATTTTGAGAACGATAAATTCGTGCCCCAAAACTTGGAGATACGCAGGTCAATAAGAAATAGCGATAGAACGCAGCAAGCTCATTTATCTTGCTCATTTATTTGTGAAACAGATTGATCCATTCTGCCACACTTTAATATAAACGGAGTGTAATATAGGGAATTTGGAAAAAGTCGTCGATTTTTGTTTCGTTCTATCCATTCGCACAAAACCGCTTCTTTTGTCTTATAGCAAAGTAAATTCTTACCCAAAGAAAAAGACAACCAGTTTTAGACAATACAAACGCAAATAAGCTTTTTGTCCATTATCAAAAAATGTCTTTGACTACTGTTAGCACCACTACTCTTAACGCTACTACTACTAGCGCTACTACTACCAACACTACTACTACCAGCACTACTACTACCAAGGTCAACATGAGTTTGTCCTGTTCCATGCAGGCGTGTTTCTCTCCGTTGTCCTTTACAAACTGCGCCACTGGGTCAGGCTTTGGCCAGTCATGTTTTGTCGGCGTCCACAATGGCGGAACAACAGAGGAGGTTTATTGTGGAGGAGTGGGAGACCAGCAGGATCAACAGGACATTATTTGTGAGCAAAGACAAGAACAACAGCAGTACCTTCTCAGATACAGCACCCTGTTCGCGTCCAGTTACCCGTTGTCCTGGTCTGGAACAGGAGAAGAAGCTGCTTCGTACTTTGCCGCCACTTCGTCATCCCGATTTAATTCCCATCTTTACTCGCATTCCTTACGAAATCCGTGGGAAAAACCACGGTCCTTTATATGTGCCCTTTAATGATGTGACGATGCACACCACTTCATCGGATCTATTAAAATTATCGGTTGGTCTGACAGAAAAAAATATGAGTACCTTTTTGAAGTTTAATGTGGATGTTCACGGTCGACAATTTGAAGAGTTGAAGTTGTGTCGGAATTCGAAAAAGATGTTAAGTTTACCAAATGCTGGTGGTGCGAGTATGCTATCCGAGGTTCTTTCCTACGAGGTTATGGAGAGGCTCTTGGGGGTAGATCTGCTTAAGACCGAGGTAAATTTGCTTTTGGTATGACGATTTTAATTTATCGTTTTAATCATTAATTAATTATAATATAACATCAGATGGAAGTACATTATAGTTTAATAAATCAGCCAATGACCGACTATCTGGTAAACCTAAGACACCCACACTACACCAATCCGCTCACTATTGGCGTATCAGTAACGCGAGCATATGCTCACGACCGACGATACACAAATGATGATGCCCATCGACTTCTCACGAAAAAATTAGCTGGTGTCAATTCATCCACCAAAAACATTGATAACGCTCGCATCTGGAAACAGATTCTTCATATATGGTGTCCGAACGGTCAAACTGCCAACGTGGTAAAACGCGTCTACATGAAAATGTCCCCCGAGTACAAAGCTAACACGGTGGTAATGGTGTCAATCGTCGACTCGAAATGGGTGTTTACTAATAATAAAGTTGTGTATCCCCCAAGGAAGAAGGATTTGCCAAAGAAGAAAAGGAAGAAGCGTGTGTAGTGTGGCTTTTTTCTCTTACCTTGATTTGATTTTCTTTTTTTACTTTTCTTTATTTATTAATAATTTTAGATTTTTTCTTTGTTTTATTCGATATTATTTTTTTTTGAAATTGATCAATTTACAATAGAACACAAAAGATCAAATAAATTTATTATCCCATATTCATCCCTACTGTCTTGCTATACACGTACAAACAAAAAATTACCCGAGTAGATTAAAAAATAAATCACGAATAAATATGTGATTGATTGGAAAATTTATTTACGATTTAGTATCGAAATTGAATTTGTACAATTCTGTATAAATCTTTTCATATCCAAATCTCTTTGGTGCTATGTTGGAACCCGAGAATTCTCGGTGGTAAAGAAAGCATCGAACACGTGTGAAATATGGTTTACGTATTGTGCGAGCGCTGGATTGTATAGATCGAGGGATTCTAAACTATGCAAACTGTTCATTTGGTCATCGATGACATGTTATGTCGACAAGAAACCTTGATAGAATCCACAATGCACTTTAGAGGCTAGTAATGGTAAGATTTAATTTAGTATCACCTTGTGTTTCAGTATCGAAGCAACAGAACGAACAGTTTGAATAATGCGCAAACTTTATAATTCATTTGACATTATTTTTAATATTGAGTATGTCACTTTGACCTAGGGAATTATTCAAGGCGAAATTATTGTTATTAGTATTCGTGTCATTGACTAAAGTGCGATAATTTTATTTCGAGTCCTGTGCGAAAGTGTGTGATGCTGGATAAATGCATAATTTTATAATAATCTGTTTTTTTTACGTTCGACGTCGCACGTGTACTCGCCTATTATACATGATATCAAGAGTGTGATCGGAGATAAGTCTAAATTTCGTGACTGAAAGATCGTGATCCCGATAAATTTTTTCACTGTGGGCATGAAAAGTATAACAACGCTAATTGCATGTATCTTAGCTAGAAGACAAGTTAGATAAGTTAATAGTTTTGTTTCTATTTCTTTTAATAATCCTTTAGATAGTTTTTAATATAATCTTTCATCTTAATTGCAAAGTTATTGTTATTGTATTTGTTTTATAATCTCTTATCTTAACTGTGAAGTTATAACTTGTATTTGACCTCTCATCACTATTGCAAAGTCATCATTATATTATTAAAAGATAATAAAATATTTGTCTTTAACTTATTTATAAATTAAACTTTAAGAACACAATTATCTTCGAATATTTCTGGTTTCATTCTAGCTGATCACAAAATGAATATTGTCATCGTTGTGACATGTTATATATTATTTAGCTATTTGTTGACACGTTTATGCAAAAGACCAGGAAGATGAGCATAGCATCATTACCATGAGGAGCTCAACATTTATCTATAATAATGATATTTCTCTCACATGATGATATTATTTGACAAAGAACAATGATTATTAAGATATTTTAATTGGTTCTTTATTATAAATTAGATTTATGTCATAATACATGCTTAATATAGATCATTTTATTAAGATTTA